CCCCCCCCCCCCGCCCAAAGAAGAATATCAAGAGAATATAAGAAACACCGTAGATGAGTGGTAGGTAAGGTAGGTTAGGTAGTAATAAGTAATACGCGGTCGATAGTCACACACGCACACACACACAGAGAGAGAGAGGGAGGGATACACGGACAAGCACAAGAAAAAAGAAAAGAACGGCCGTCACACATGACAACATCTTTCTCCTTCATATTTCCTCTTCTCCTTCTTCTTCCTGCAATACTCCGTATTACTCTGCAAACTCGTGTGCGCGCGAGACTCTACTGCATCAGCAGACTCTCCCTCCCTCTCTCTCCTCGCCATCTGTCTCTGCTTATGTCAGGCACATTGGTCATCCCCCCGGATAATCCGTCGTGTCTTACCTGGGTAAGCACTGGGGCAGGAACCGTCTACATGTAATGATATATAGTAAACATGCATCGGACATGCAGTAGCATCACAGCAGAGGGAGAGAGAGAGAGATGGAGAGAGAGAGAGATGGAGAGAGAGAGATGCGTACACACACACATGCATCGTCTCATCTCATCTCATCCCATGCTTAAACCCGAGGATCCCGTGTGACAGATAGGTCAGAAAGGAACAGGTTGCCGAGTCCCTGTCAGCCTCGAGTCTGCGGTGTCAATAGATCACAGCTATGCAGCCAACTTGCAAGACATACATGATGAGAAATGCATCCAATTGACAGTCTAACCACACCCTTTTGGTCTGTTTTCTTCTTCTTCTCCATCCTTGTATATATATATATATAATAATAATAATAATAATAATAAATATACCAATAGAAATATAATAATAATAATATTATAATAAAAATATAATAATAAAATATTCTCTCTTCTCTTCCTCTCTCTCTCTCTCTTTTTCTTTCCCCCCATCTTCTTTCCCGTCCCCTCCCCCAATATTTCTTCGTTGATTCATCATCATCTTGCATAGTAATCCTGACCTGGCAACCTCTGCAAAGAGCCGATGATGGGAAGATGGCCAAGATCGACGAGTTGCCAGCTGAAGAGCGATGGTCCGGACCGAAAGAGGAAGTATGACGGAACCCGAAGCCGACAGGAAACCCCCTCCCCCCCCAGTCAGAGAGGGGGGCGAGATGGCATTGACCGAAAAGAGGAGGAAAGATGGGCTGCGCGGACTAATCAATAAATACAGGTACGGGGTTACGTCTTCCGGGAAAACAATACTAAGAAAATGGGGTTGAATGAAAGAAGAGGTGGCGTGTGCGTATCGGGGTGTGTGTGTGTGTGTGTGTGTGTGTGTGTGCGCGTGTCGTGTGGGGGGTTGGGGTTGGGGTTGGGTTGGGTTTGCTGTTGCTGTTGCTGTTGCTGTTGCAGTTGCGGTTGCAGTTGCGGTTGCAGTTGTGGTTGTGGTTATTGTTGTGGTTATTGTTGTTGTATCGTAACCCCAACCCCAAACCCCCTCCTCTCTCTCTCTCTCTCTCTCTCTCTCTCTCTACCGATTAATTACTCGTGATGACGATGACCAGCTAGTTACAGACTACGAAGATGAAGATAGAAAGGGGGCAGCTCTACACTACTCGCAGAGAATGTCTTTCTATCCCCTTCCTTTCGTATTGTACTTACTGATTCATCTCTCTTCCTTTCCTATTCATGGCCGCATCTTGGGTCCCCCCCCCCCACCTCCGGGCGGCGGCCGCATTGTGGATCTCTTACTACACCACCGTGTTATCCCATTGGTCGCCTATTGAGATCACACAGTATTGTATTCAACCTGGGATGCACCTACACTCACGCACACTCACACAGCACCCTAGTCTTTTTTTATATTTATATTTATATTTACATTTATTTTATCTCTACTTTACCCTTTCGGACATACAGTTCCCATCATAGGACTGAACCGCAGGAGTGGACAAGGCAGAGATAGGGAAGGAGGTCATATGAGGATGTTATATGATATAAAGTTGGGGGGGGGGAGAGGGGGTTCGGCGTGGCCTCCAGTCGAAAGACGCCATCATCCGTCTCTCTGTATGGTTCATTCTCCGTCCCATCTTCTTCAAACCCTTCGAGACCGAAGCTCTCTATTGCCCATCTGCCCTTCTCTCTCTCTCTCGGAATCTTTCCATCCATCATGACCCTGTCCTCCTCCCCTTTCCCGTCCAGCATCGCGGCGTCGTACCCGGACTATGAGACCACCTCTAGGCTGGATACCATCCGGGACACGGACTACTCCTACCTCGACCGTCAGTCCCACGTCTACCTTGACTACGCAGGCGCCGGGCTCGCGGCCGCCAGCCAGGTGAGGTCCCACGCCGACCGCCTCACCAGCCTGATAGCCGGCAACCCCCACTCGGCCAGCCCGTCGAGCGCCGTGTCCAACGACGCCATGGCCGAGGCGAGGTCCCGCGTCCTCCGCTTCTTCAACGCCGACCCCGGAGAGTACTCGGTCATCTTCACCGCCAACGCTACCGGCGCCGCCCGCCTCGTCGGCGAGGCCTACCCCTTCACGCGCGGCTCGCGGCTCGTCCTCACGGCCGACAACCACAACTCCATCAACGGACTCAGGTGCTTCGCCGCAAAGGCCCGCGCCCCCACCGTCTACGTCCCAGCCGACCCGGTTGACCTGCGCACCGACACCGGTGCCGTGGCTGCCGCTCTATCCTCTTCCTCTTCTCCTTTCAAGAAAGTCAACTTCTCATGCTTCCCTCTCCTGAGCAGGAAGATGAACCGGAGCGGGAGAGGGAGCAGGAGCAAGACGTCACCCGCCAGAAAGCTCTTCGCCTACCCTGCCCAGAGCAACTTCTCCGGCGTCCGCCACCCGCTCTCGTGGGTCAGGATGGCCCAGGATCAGGGCTACGACGTCCTCCTCGACGCGGCCGCCTACGTCACCACCGCGCGTCTGGACCTGTCCGTCGTCAAGCCGGACTACGCCACCGTGAGCTGGTACAAGCTGTTCGGCTTCCCTACCGGGGTCGGCTGCCTGATTGCCCGCCGCGACTCGCTGGCCGGCCTGGACCGCCCCTGGTTCTCCGGCGGCACCGTGCGCGCCGCCACCGTCGGCGTCCAGTGGGTCGAGCCGGCCGCCGACGAGGCCGCCTTCGAGGACGGCACCCCCAACTTCCTGTCCCTGGCCGACGTGCACTACGGCATCGACTGGCTCGACCGCGAGGTCGGGCTCGACGTCCTGGCCACCCGCGTCCGCTGCCTGACCGGCTGGTTCCTCGATCGTCTCCGCGCTCTCCGACACTCGGACGGCTCGCCCATGGCCGTCGTCTACGGCCCCGTCGACACCGTCGACCGCGGCGGCACCGTAGCTTTCAACCTCGTCGACGCCGCCGGTCGCGTCGTCGACCAGCGCATCGTCGGCCCCGAGTCCGCCGCCGTCAACATCTCCATCAGGACAGGCTGCTTCTGCAACCCCGGCGCCGGAGAGACGGCCCTGGGCATCGGACGTGACGCCATCCTCCGCCTCTCGGAGACCAGGGGCCTCTCCTTCGACAGCATCGTCAAGACGCTCGACCAGCCCTTCATCGGTGCCCTGCGCGTCTCCTTTGGAGTTGCCTCCAACGCCGCTGATGTCGACATGTTTCTGCAGTTTGTCAAGAAGACCTATCGTGATCGAGAGGTGACCTGGGAGGGCTTGCCTCCTCTTGAGAGCTGTTAAGATGTGGCTCTTCTCTATCCTTTCTTTATCGTTTCTCTTGCCCCCCCCTTTGATTACTTACTGCCTTGGTAATTGCTTCACTGTCGTATATTATATTACCTGCCTCCTCTCTTTGACGTGCTGCACTCTCTACTGTCTTGTTCCTTTTTCTAGTTTTGGGGAGAAAAAGAAGCAAAAGAAAAAAAAAAACCCCTTGTCTTGACTCTATGACTTGTACGCATTGACGGAGAATGAAGCAGTTCCTCAGAAATATAGATATACGACAACTTCATTAATATATACGAAAAATATATACGCAAAGATTGGGCTTCATGAAACAAGACGACTACAGACGTCGGAAACAAACATCTCGACTCAAGGATTAGAACCGACGGGCACGGACAGCATAAGTTCCGTCGCTGCCGACCCACGTTCCATTCGTAGGGGGCGCCGCACTGCCGGCGCCACAGCTCAGCAGTTGAGGGCCGAGGGGCTCGCAGAATCCGACGAGAGCAGGCCAGATGTATTCCTGAACCGTGATATATCAGCAACCTAATCATCCGAAAGTGGCATTGTTTCGAGCGAGAGAGAGAGAGAGAGAGGGACTTCCGTCGGGGGCATAACTTACAAAGAGGGTCCGGGTCCAGAGTGTGTCGTAGAAGTCGCCATTCTTCTGCTTGATGTCGAGGACTACGCTGGTGGACAAGGTGACTTTGCCGTCAATGCCACTGCTGTACTGGCCGTCGCAGACGCTGCAAGTGGAGGCTGTGTAAGGGGGGGGGGAGGGGGTATTGTCAGCGATCGAAGTTGCAAGGTGTATGTTTTGTATGTTTTGCGGAGGACTCACAAGCCTGAACGGCAATAGCTGCCTTGAGGGTGGGGACGTTGAGGGAGAGCTCTCCGAGGAAGCCGTAGTCTGCATTGATCTGTCAGTCAGACCTTCCTTTCGTCTCCCCCTTCCCTGCCGGGGGGGAGGGGGACTTGAAAGCGGTAGGGTGGAGAGGGTCGTAGAATTACCGAAAACACTGGCCTCGAGGCCTAGAGCCGGGGCGAGGGAGATGGAGGCGGAAGCCTCGACCTGAGCCTCGACCTCGAGCGGCACAGCCTGCGCGTCGACGGTCCAACCGCTGGAACCGGTGTTGTCCTGGTTGAGGAAGTCCATGGTGGCCTGGGAGGCCGGGATGCTGGCGGTGCCGCCCATGGTGACGCTGACGGTGCCGGTGACGGGGCCGAGGTCGGCGTTGAGGTTGATGGAGACGGTGGGGCCGATGGTGACGAGGCCGGGGATGTCGATACCCGCGGGGGCGGCGCTGAAGAGCGGCAGGGTCTGGGACATGGCCTCGGTGAGGGAGCCGTCGATGGTGAGGTTCGTGATGGCGACGACGCTGACGCCCGGGGTGCTGACGGAGACCCAGGCCTCGTCGAGGGAGAACCACGACATGCTGAAGGAGGCCTGGATGTAGAACGACCCCGAGGCCGTGCAGTTGGCGCACACGCCCCTGACGTTGACGTCGTCGTAGTACGAGAAGCTCAGGTCGCTGCCGGTGAGGTCGGCGTCGAGCGGGATGGAGAACTCGGTCGAGGCGCGCGTGGACAGCGCGGCGTCCTTGGCCTGGTCGGAGCCCGCGGACAGGGCCTGCTGCTGCCCGATGGTCAGGTCAAAGGTGTGGATGGCCTCCTTCCAGGTGACGTGGCGCGCCTGCAGCGTGGCCTCCTCGGCCTCGTTGTCGTACCGGATGCTCTGCACGTCGAAGAGCACCCGGTCCGCGTTCCAGCCGCAGTCGCCCTTGCCGGCCAGGAGGACGAAGTGGTGGTCGTCCTCCCGGTTGACCCAGTCCCACACGTCGGCCGCGCTGTTGAAGTCCTCCTTGGCCTTGAAGCTGATGGTGATGTTGCCCACGCGCGTCGAGTTCTGCGGCGGGCAGCTGATGCTCTCGATCAGGTCGTCGATATCTTCCAGGTCCACCAGCGTCTCATTGTCCGCCGTCATGCGGACGTGCAGGTCCGCCACCGTGCCGTGCTGGCCTTGCCATCGCAGGTGACGGTCGCTGTGCATGCCCAGCCTCGTCTCGTCCGACGACACCCCGGCCACCTGGATGCTGGCCGACTGCGGACGCACGGGGACCAGAACGTCCATGGGGTTGGAGTTCTGCGACGAAGACGAGTAGAGGACGGCACCTCCGCTGATGTGAGCGCCACCGTTCCTGCCACCGCTGCTGCTGCTGCTGCTGCTGCTGTTGCTGCTGCTGCTGCCGTTCAGAGACACGAGGTTGGCTCGGCTCTCGTGTAGGCTGGCGTGACGGGCACCATGCTGATGAAAGACCCGGGCGTTGGCAGCTCCGGTCAAGGCCAGGGCACCGGCCAGGATGTTTGCTAGCGAGGGCATCGTCGTGGGAAGATGGAGTGATGGAATGAACGAATGAATGAGTGTTCTTCAAGAAGAGAGAACGACAGTGAAGAAAAGAGTGTGTGATTTTTTCTCGATGGAGAGTCGGTATGAATGAATGACCGTCAAGCAATAATCAGCTTGCAAAGCAGAAGAAGCAGCCAAAAAGAACGAATGAAGCCCAAAAAGAATGAGTTGCTTACATCTCCACAAGAACCATCGTTCGACGACAGCGACGGTCCGTGGACACATATATATACGCAACTCAGCTCTACTCCTCCAGAGCCCTGGACGTGTCCAAGTCCAAGTCCAAGACTGGCAGTTCAGGGGACGCCGAAGGAATCCATCCCTCTCCGGCTGTCGCTCTGTGCATCGCGGGCGAGTGGATTCCAGGGGCCCCGTCCGGGCTGCTTACTCCGTACATGTTATCACTGCTGCCCGTGCAGAACAAGCCATAAGCCGTAGACCTCGTGGAATGACACGCACGGCTCGGAATATGCCTTTCAGAACAGAACAGGGTGGTTAGGGTTATGGGGGGGAGGAGATCTGCATGATGGCCCAATAGTCAGAAGTCTCGTAGGACTGTAACTGGACAGASTATMTSTRTCMWGGAGRCSCCSCCCCCCCCCCCCCCCCCCCCCCCYCCSYC